ACAATATCAATTCATCAATACATATGAATTCTGAACACTGAAAACGGTTTCAGTACTCATTTTCCGGAGTATCGATACACCGGTACCAGCTGTGCTGCACGTTTACTATAGTCATTCTGCTGTTTTCTGCTACTAACCAAGAAAAGAAAAGTCGTAGTGTTGTCATGTTACAGCCTTGTTATATTTATCTTTATATAAAAGTCTTTATTCATATGCCCTTAATTTCAATTTTCCCCTTAAGAATCAAAAAAGGTATTGAATATCGATATTTTTCAAGCTATTAGAAATTCCAGTATCGTGACAACCCCAGTCTGTGAATGCTATAATTCCATATTGCCCTCCACTTGTTGCAACTCACTGCTGACTTTTAGGATCCATCATGAGTATTTCAATCAATGGTGACTGAATCATTGAAGATTTTATCTTGTTTCTTAACCTTAAGGAGCAGCATATGTATTTTCTTCTAATGTTCACACCTACATGCACATACACACACATACAGGAGACTAGCACAATAACCATGTTTACATGCAACTATGCACACTTTTCCAGCTAACACCAGGAGTGTCACATTCCAGTGTGCGTCTCTGCTAAACAGCTGTGCAACCAGCTAATGTTCAGGTGCTCCAGTTGTGGATGATGGACCAGCCAGCAGCTAATATGTCAACCATGTGTTATCTAAAGAATGAGTAAGTCAACAGCAGAGAATGGGTCCAAAGTGCACTGGGTCCTCCCTTCACTCTAATCTGGAGACATCCCTATGGACACTATAGGCCAGAAAATAGTGCCAGTCAGTGATGAGCCAGACTTTGTCCAGTTGGTTTTATTTGAGTCATTGTCTTGTAGGATACACGCCACTCCAATAGTTTTGTTTGATTCTTGGTTGTTAAATGTTGCTCCCTGGACAGTCAAAATGAAATCAACCAGTCTTGGACTTTTTTATTGCTGTCAGTAACAATCAGAGGTTGTTAAGTGCAAATAATCACAACATTAGCAGGCGGTGTCAGATTTATGGACAGATAAACACGTCGTTATAATTCAATTTGCTCAACAAATGATGCAGTCACAGCAACTGCCCCGCTTATCTTTCAGCTGAGTAGCTGGGTTTAATTTTAGCGTATTAACCTTTACCATAATTTGGCCGGAGTCTGAGAAAATAGTAAATGAAATTCAGAGCAGGCGTACTGTGTTCAAATGTTTGCAAGCCACCAGACATTTTAGTGACATTCTGGATGGAGCTGAAAGTTTACATTCAATCCTGGAAAGATCATTGTTGGAGCGACTTGGCAAGAGAGAGGGAGGTGACACTGGTTCCTCCACTGCACTGTGTAATTACTGTGGGAGCTGCTGCATTGTGACTATTTTTGACAGGCTGTGACACAGATGGATTTGACCACAGAGACTCGCAAAGTCAAGGGCCTCGCAGAGTCGAGGGCCGAGGTTCGCAGTGAGCTGACGAGGAAGAAGGGAGCTTTTGAGAGAGAAAGGAGGATGTGAGATGGTCGGGACTCGGTCCATTTCTTTTGCAGGGATGATGCTTAAAGCAGACAGAAAAAAAAAAATCTAAACAAAGATGGTTCACATCAGACGGAGAGAACATTTTATTTAATATAATACAGGATTCATGGAATGAAAGTCACACTGCCTTCCTGAAGTTCTGTGGCTAATGCAATTACTGGTGGCACTTGTCCAGGTTGAGTCTTCCATGTGGCTCAGTGTCTCCAAATGTGTCGCTCATTTGGATATAAAGTGGGCATCTGTCATTGCGTTGTGTGTGCTATGTGCCACATGTTGCATCTGTCAGCAGGGTTCATTGTTAGGCTTCTTCCCGAGCCTCATGTAATACCATCAAATATGTGTCCAGGCAGCTTGATTGGAAACAGCAGATAGTACGCTGTTTCATTATCCTTCACATGAGAGAAAGAGAGAGAGAGAAGTAAGTGATGGCTATCAAATGGATTGACTATTTCCTCTCCAAATTCCTCTCTTTCCACATTTGCTCGTTGTGGGTTTGTTTTCTTATTTAGGTTGTCTGAGAGAGAAAACGAGTGTGGCTTTTATTTAAAAACTGTCCCTCAAAGCTCTGCATGTCTCCATGACTACCGTGCCAAGGTACATTAGTCAGACTTTGCACACTGGTCGCTGCTTCCTGAGAGGCCTGTTTTCATGCATTGGTTTATACTTTTGTCATTGTGCAGCAAGAATGTGTCTAATTTTACTGCGGGTGCACCATAGAGCTACAGTGACAGCAGTCAAAGAACATATGTCAGCGCACAATACTTAATATTGACATAAAAAAAAAACACTAGCTGTTTATCGTCCCTCCTGATTGCCACTCAGGGGAGCTGCTACACTTTGTTGTCGGCTTGTGTGAGTGTTGCATGACTCTGGTGCAGCCAGCATGGGCGGGTGTGGGCTTTGGGACAGACCCCAGGCCAGGGACATCCTCTCAATGAGTCACTTAAGTTTAAAAGCCCAGCTGTGTAAATGGCTTACAGCATACATTCAGAATGTACACTGACTGCTACACGAAACACAGGTCACCCAGGCACTGGGTGTGTGCCGGACATGCCGTGATAACACGCCAGCAAGGGAACGCAACGCACGCTTTCGCTGTCTCTAGAGGTGGCAACAGACAAGAACACAAGAGGCACGAAAAAGTGCATTTTAACATTACGTGCTATCATCTGTATAAACTGTCTTTCTGTCTACACACATCTATAGTCATACACACACATCTTTTCTGTAACTATTATTTAATGTAGTCCCAGCGGTCTCTGGCAGCATTAGCCCTCAGCCACCGTGAATTAAGGCATTTCCTCTTTAACAAACCACAGCTTCCAGGGCTTTTGGCCGCTACTTTGGCCTGTGCTGAGCTACAAGTTCAGTTCAGTTCATGTTAAACTCTCACACAGGCTGGTCACACTCAGCCATCCAGGCACACACACACACACACACACACACACACACACACAAACACTCCTAATGCCCAACCCGAAATGCCAATTTACACTTCCCAGACCACAGGAAAGGGCTGTGACTTGGACGTCTGCAATTCGCATCCTGAATGACTGAAACAGTAGCAGCATCATCACCTGTGTTTGTGTAAGAGGGAGGGCTGAAGTCTTTTACTGTAAAATGTTATGAAGTGTGTTAGTCACCGCTTCCTTATTTTGTCATGCAATCTGGCGGGGATTAACGTAGCCTTAGGTGAGTGTGAGGAGAAGAGGCAACTCTGTGTTCGATATTTGTCCATGTGTGTGTTTGTGTGTGTGTGTGTGTGTGTGTGTGTACACTGGGGCCAGGCAGTAATTTAATATAATGGTTTATTTATCCAAAGCAGATTCATATTGTGATGACACAGTCTCATCATGATGTTATGCTAAGTTACAGGACAAGAGGGATGTTTTTCTAACTGTCAACAAAACCAACAATATATATATTATATATGTATATGATTATATTGTCAGTTTCCTCATACTTTCCAGTGTCACTGCTCTGTCCATGGTATTCTACCCTGAGGTCACTGGCTCCTTCAGACGCGGGCAAATCTTATCCTTTTAATGTTCAAAACTATTAACAGGCATTCAAAAGTTACACAATTAAGCTGGCTGTACACCAAACAACTTCTGAAGTGATTTCACTGTTGCAAACATTTTCCATTGTCGGGGTAAAATCATGAGAGTTTTTCTTGATTGTTTGGTGTAAGATGGTTATAAATCTCAGTCCAAGCTGGCTTAAGTCAGTCTTTTTCTCGTCTTGACGTTCCAGTAAAATGAAATGTGTTTGATATTAGCACAAGTTTTTAGTTTTGGTTCAGTGATGAGAAAATTGTCAACAACCAATACATGTGCTCCTTTCAGCACCAAGCAGAAAGCGAAGGCAGAAGAAGGCGCAAAAACTTGAGCAAGGCTTGGTTCTCTTGCACTTTAGGAAAAGAGGACAAACTGGTGGAGTTGTGGCATGAACAAGGGTCGGTGTTTAATGTAGTGTGTATCTGATCCACCAACTAGAACTTCTTTTAGTGAGAAATCGTACTTTTTAAAGTGGTTTGCCTCTCATACGAACCGTCTCCTCCCACTGAAACAGCTAACCAATGGAGGCTGTTAGTGAGTGGAGGTGGAAATCTCACTTTGTACGCAAATAGTTGAGTCTTATGGATTACATTGATGATAGTCTCGCTCACCAGACCTTTCTCAAGAAAAGAAAGGTCTGGCTG